CCAAGATCTCGAAGATCTTGAAAGTTGAAGAAAGTATAGTGCGCTTGGTGACGACGTCAGACTGATCCACTGTAATGGGAAAATTAATGCTGTCGGTCGAAGGACTCCAATCTAGGCCCAGCGTATTTGTAGACTGACTCAATGTCAGGTTGCCGGATGACTGGACAACGTCTGAAGGCAGTAAAGAAGGTAAGTTGGATCGGTACTTACGCAAGTCAAAACCAGCCATAGAAAGAGCCACATGTGTTGATTTCTGTATAGACCGTAATTGATCTTCATCATCGCTAGAAGTTAGTAAGTCATCAACACATATGTCCTCCTGTATGACTGCCTTAATAACGTCATCGTCACACTCCTCGCCCACTTGCCAGAGACACCTGGTGGCAAGGAAACTAGCGCTAGCAAATCCGTAGGTGACCGTGTTAAGCCTGTGTGTTTGTAATGGTTTGTCCTCCGCATCACGCCATAAAATCAGCTGTAGGTTTCGGTCAGACTCATCTATTAAAACCTGCCGGTACATTTTTTCAATATCCGCTGACAACACATAACGATATTGCCGGAACCGGATGAGGATATTGAAAAGAGAGTCTTGAACTGTAGGGCCTATCATTTGAATGTCGTTTATAGACAAACCAGATGAAGTGCGAGCTGATGCGTCAAAAACGACGCGTAGACGTGTTGACTCACTGTCTTCACGAATGACAGGATGATGCGGAACAAAATAGGCAAGCTCAGGTCGGTCTACCTCAGATATTGCTAGATGTCCTAGTTTGCGATACTCCTCAATGAAATCAACATAGGCGGACTTAAGTTCCGGTTGCTTGCGAAAGCGACGTTCCAGGTTTATAAATCGCCGCCTGGCTATGAAATAGGAAGTGCCTAGGCAGTCTGGTTTGTCGATCAATGGCAGCTTGACACAAAAACGACCTTCTTCAGTGCGTTTTGTGTGCTGTAAAAAATGTTGTTCGCAAGCTTTCTCTTGGTCTGTAAGAAGGGGCCTTTGTGGCAAGCTTTCAAGCTCCCAAAACCTCTTCAAATCATTGTGAAGCTCAACTAAAGTATTGTTGCTTTCAATACTTACAAAATTACATTTCACTGGGGAATTTAAATTGAGATTGTCATTTTGAATATAATGCATGGGACCTGCGATAAGCCATCCTAATTTAGACTCATGTAGAATAGGATTTCCTTTGCCTAAAGAGTGCTGTTTGGTTCCAATAATAATGGACCAAAATAGGTCAGCACCGATGAGCAGTCCTATGTCAGACGGCTCATAAAAGCTGGGGTCTGCTAATGCAAAGGACTTCAGGTTAAGGTGTGTAATAGACACAAGAGACTTAGGTATCTTACCTGATATTTGGGGTATGACTAAACATGACGTCATAACGCTGAAAGAACCTACCTTTGAATGAATTCGAACATTGCAACGTTCAGCATTAAGCTTGACAATAGTGTTACATATGCCGACTACATTCCTAACATCAGACGTGGAAGAAGTTAAATTTAACTTTGATTTAAGTGATTCTGTAATAAAGCTAGACTGACTACCGTTGTCTAAGAGAGCTTTAGTGGTAATGTAATTGATTGTTTTGGGATTAAAAATATCAACCAAAGCCGTACATAGTAGTGTCTCAGAAGCAGAAACAGCTGACATTGAAACTGGCTCAGAGACTGCAACATTAGTGACTGCCACATTGGTATCAGAATCCGTAGGTTTGTGTAAAAAGGTGTTGTGACGTTTTTTGCATATCTTGCACGTACCTGGAATCTTGCATGCGCGCGTATTATGCCCTTTGCGCAAACAGTTGGGACACAACTTTAGCTCGGACACTAATGAAAGTCTATCATCAATAGATTTCGATTGAAATTGTGAGCACTCATAATTACGATGACCTTGACCACAGAAAATACACTTGTGAGGGGCAGTTGCTGATGAGTCGCCCTGCTCAGCGCTAACGAATGACTTAGTATGAGAAACGGGATTTTGTTTGACGCCTTGATTGTGATTCGGGTTTGACTTTATATTTTTGTCTTGTTTACTGCGATAAACAGACTCTAAAACTTCAGCGCGGCCCTTAATAAAAGTCATGAAATCATCTAGGCTAGGCATATCCGAAGCATTAACATTAGCTTGAATGTACTCCTCCCATTTAACACGCGTGTTGCTGTCTAATTTCGCTGAGACTATGAATATGATCAGGGTATCCCAATGATCAGTTGGCTGTTTTAAAGTATTTAAAGCACGTAGGTTTTTTGTGACGTGGTCTACTAGAAATCTTAATGACTTGTCAGACTCACGCAACGGCTCAATATTAAACAAAGACTTCAAATGATTATTTATTAATTGACGAATATTATTAAAACGCTCACAAAGAAGACTCCATGCCTCAGGATAATTATTGTCGCAAACTTCTAAATTACATATTACACGAGCAGCTTCACCTTCTAGATAGGAATTTAAATAATGAAATTTGTGTATATTTTTTATTTTTGTATTATTATGTATCAGAGAACTGAACGTATCACGAAATTCCAACCATTTGTTGAACGTACCATCAAACTTATTAATTTTAATGACTGGTAAACGAAAGCCGATAACTTCGTGATCATCTTCATCAGCTGTGTAAATACTGCTATGCTGAAGCGACGACTTTTTTGTCGTACTGCTTACGGAAATAATTTCCTGAGCCAATGCGATCGAATTGTGGAAAGCTTGTTCGATAACTTCTCTGGTATCCAATTCTAAGCTTAAATTATTTTCCTCCAATGCTTCAATCTGATTTTGCACGCTATCGAATTCGCCAAATAAAGTCTCAAGTTTAACTAATCGCTGCGATAGCACGCTAACTTCCGTAGGAGTAAGCTTTTTACCTTTTAATTCTTCTAAATGGTTATTAAATTTCGTAACACGGCCTCTAATTGAAGCGCGTTTTAAATTAAGAGTTTTGTACTTTGCCTCCATACTAGCAAAGTTAACGCGCAGACAATCAAAACAACTAGTTATGCGCTGTACTAATCAAATAAATAAGAATTGCATACAATACGTTCCTCGCTTCGTGGCCGCTGTGATGGAAACCGGTTCAAAATCAGCAGAAGCGCGGTGAAAGGTGGGATTGATGACGCGCGACGCCCGCGGTCCAGTACCACGACGTGAGCCCGCAGTGCTGGCAGTGACACGGGATGCGATGATAGTCTCGAGCGACCGCTGCACCGTAGCTGAAATTGATTGTTGGAATGCTTTGCAGATATCTCCGTACATAAAATAATAACGGGAAGCAAGGTTGATCGTAAATTTAATTGATTTGTGCAAATAATGGTTTAATTAGCGTAATATAGGGCTTAGCGAATGATTATGCTATAGTGATGACTAATTTATTTGCGTGCATAAACAGCTAACAGTGAATAGCGAGAAGTGAATTTACTTGCATTGAGGAGTTAAGCTCAAATTTTTGCGTAGCTATGTACATAGTATGTGTATGCTTACGTTTAAAGAAATAGGTTCAGCTATTTAAATTCTAACTATTTAACAGTGGCTACTAACTAATTAAATGCTAGTGAAGACTTTTAAGTCGTAAAATAGGCGCAATGAATGCAAATTATAGGCGGCTTGAAAAATAGCACTGATTACTTAGCAAATGATGCGGCGAAATAATAGTAAGAAATAATAGAAAATTAGCTGATAGGCAAGCAAATAGGTGTAAATAGGTGATTTTAACTCGTTAGGTATGTTGATTGTAGGTAGGTTTAACTAGGTAATTCTTTTAGGATTGTTTTAATAGGTATTTTATTTGGTAGGATTGTTGAGTAGGAATAGTTTATTTTGATTAGCAGTTTTATATACGAAAGGGTATAAGATAGACAAGGAATATAAAGGATGTTGCTTAAGAATAGGTAGGTAGGGTAAGGCAACAAAAAATAGGACTAGATTCCTTGTTTCCCTGTTCACACAAATAGAATTTTTAGGAATAGTGGGACACGAAGAGGTAAAATAATAGGAACGGGCTCACTTTTAGTTGGCAAAAACCGCTGATGTGGCGCGTAGACTCCGCTGGACCTCAGCTTGGCCGGTTCTCAATAGCTGTCCTCTTGTCTTCTCTCCGCTCCAGATGAATTCTTCTTGACCGCTTTGTTGTTCTTAGGACTCGGGATGGTACGCCAATTTAATAATCTTCTTAGCTGATGTAGTAGATCGGCGTGGCTTCCTTTGTTCTCGTAGCTCGTAGTACTTGCGTTCGCGACGTTGTAAACGCGGGGTAAGTGCTACGACCTTTGGACCGTATTACGCGGCGAGATCGGAATTCGATATTTTAATTTATCACGGTCGCCACTATGTTCAGTTAGGGAACATGAAAAAAATAGGCGACTCACACGATAGGCAAATTGTATATTTAAAAGGAATGAAAAATACAAAATATTTGGTGGCGATCGGGTCGCGAGCTATCGGCGAGTGCCGGTCTTAGGCGCGGTGGTGAGAAACCCCCCGCACTTCACATACTCCCCGCAAACACGTCGGTGCTGTCGTAACGGCGCCGACAAATATCAATAGTTTTAAAATATTTCACAATATCTTTTGATTATACTTTATGAAATGTAAAATTCTTTGTAAAACAAAATGTAAATGCGTGTCATTTACATTTTCTTTAAGTAATGATTCGGCGACGACAGGAGAAGAATTCAGTGACTTAGTGGTTAAGATCGGTATAATCAGTAAAATATTTCTCAAAAATCATTGCAACGTTCTGATTTGATTCATTTAATTTGTTGTTAAAACTTAAATGGTAGTTTGAATTGTGAGAGTTGATTTTACCAGTATCGCTATTAATTATACAGGTGGACTATGTGCTCGTTTGTCACTCTAATTTTATAATAAAAGGAAATTCAAATTCGCCCGACCCGGTATCTCATGATTAGCTACTGCATTTACGACCACTAAACCAAAGAAGCAGTCCTCTATCTAGTTTTTGTAGAAGTTTTGTACATTGAAGTGGTGCATGCGGCAGGTACGAGTGTCACTGCAGCGCGCGCTATACGGGCAACAACTGCGAGGTGGACGCGGGCGAGCCGTGCGCGTCGGCGCCGTGCCAGCACGCCGGCCGCTGCGTGGAGGACGCGCGCGGCGACTACACCTGCCTCTGCGCGCCCGGCTACCACGGTACGTGCTCCCTCTCGCTCGCTCGCTCGCTACGTGCCAGCACGCCGGCCGCTGCGTGGAGGACGCGCGCGGCGACTACACCTGCCTCTGCGCGCCCGGCTACCACGGTACGTGCTCCCTCTCGCTCGCTCGCTCGCTACGTGCCAGCACGCCGGCCGCTGCGTGGAGGACGCGCGCGGCGACTACACCTGCCTCTGCGCGCCCGGCTACCACGGTACGTGCTCCCTCTCGCTCGCTCGCTCGCTACGTGCCAGCACGCCGGCCGCTGCGTGGAGGACGCGCGCGGCGACTACACCTGCCTCTGCGCGCCCGGCTACCACGGTACGTGCTCCCTCTCGCTCGCTCGCTCGCTACGTGCCAGCACGCCGGCCGCTGCGTGGAGGACGCGCGCGGCGACTACACCTGCCTCTGCGCGCCCGGCTACCACGGTACGTGCTCCCTCTCGCTCGCTCGCTCGCTACGTGCCAGCACGCCGGCCGCTGCGTGGAGGACGCGCGCGGCGACTACACCTGCCTCTGCGCGCCCGGCTACCACGGTACGTGCTCCCTCTCGCTCGCTCGCTCGCTACGTGCCAGCACGCCGGCCGCTGCGTGGAGGACGCGCGCGGCGACTACACCTGCCTCTGCGCGCCCGGCTACCACGGTACGTGCTCCCTCTCGCTCGCTCGCTCGCTACGTGCCAGCACGCCGGCCGCTGCGTGGAGGACGCGCGCGGCGACTACACCTGCCTCTGCGCGCCCGGCTACCACGGTACGTGCTCCCTCTCGCTCGCTCGCTCGCTACGTGCCAGCACGCCGGCCGCTGCGTGGAGGACGCGCGCGGCGACTACACCTGCCTCTGCGCGCCCGGCTACCACGGTACGTGCTCCCTCTCGCTCGCTCGCTCGCTACGTGCCAGCACGCCGGCCGCTGCGTGGAGGACGCGCGCGGCGTCTACACCTGCCTCTGCGCGCCCGGCTACCACGGTACGTGCTCCCTCTCGCTCGCTCGCTCGCTACGTGCCAGCACGCCGGCCGCTGCGTGGAGGACGCGCGCGGCGACTACACCTGCCTCTGCGCGCCCGGCTACCACGGTACGTGCTCCCTCTCGCTCGCTCGCTCGCCATGTGCCAGCACGCCGGCCGGGATACATTAAAAATGGGCCAGATTAGGAGTACCCTTAACCGACACGCGTGTATGCGTAGATATATGGATATAAAGGAGGCGAGAGAGGTATGTCAGGATCGCGCCAAATGGAAGTCCGTAGTCTCTGCCTACCCCTCTGGGTGACAGGCGTGAGTGTTTGTTGAGTTACTTAAGACGAGTAATTAGAAAAAAAAACTTCTACGTTAAATGCCCAATAAGCTAGTAAAAGTGAGAGCGGCTTTAAAATTCCAACGGTGCGATAATCTATTACACGGTCGAGAGTTCATGTGGCGATCACAACAAAGTCGCTCGTTGTTAATATAATAAAATAGCATCGTATAAGTATAGTGTGTGCATTGTACGCAGGCACGTACTGCGAGCTGGAGGAGTCGCTGGACCCGCAGTGCGTGGCGGGCCCGTGCCTCAACAACGCCAGCTGCCGCGTGCCGCCCGGCGCCGACTCCTACGTCTGCGACTGCCCGCCCGGTACGCACGCACGCACACATTGTACACGCACGCACGCACACGCACACACTATACACACACGCAACCATGCACCGCACACCGCACGCTGGACCCGCAGTGCGTGGCGGGCCCGTGCCGCAACAACGCCAGCTGCCGCGTGCCGCCCGGCGCCGACTCCTACGTCTGCGACTGCCCGCCCGGTACGCACGCACGCACACATTGTACACGCACGCACGCACACGCACACACTATACACACACGCAACCATGCACCGCACACCGCACGCTGGACCCGCAGTGCGTGGCGGGCCCGTGCCGCAACAACGCCAGCTGCCGCGTGCCGCCCGGCGCCGACTCCTACGTCTGCGACTGCCCGCCCGGTACGCACGCACGCACACATTGTACACGCACGCACGCACACGCACACACTATACACACACGCAACCATGCACCGCACACCGCACGCTGGACCCGCAGTGCGTGGCGGGCCCGTGCCGCAACAACGCCAGCTGCCGCGTGCCGCCCGGCGCCGACTCCTACGTCTGCGACTGCCCGCCCGGTACGCACGCACGCACACATTGTACACGCACGCACGCACACGCATACATTATACACACACGCAACCATGCAACGCACACGTACGCAATCCATTACAAATTGATGATTTTCTTCTAAAATAACAATAATATTTAATAATATGTTCTTAAAGAAAATCCAATCCAAATCATAAGACACTGACAGTACATTATGTGATAATAACTAATATTGGGGGGTAGTCAAAATTCGACAAGTTACTCGGCAAACAGCCATCAAATACAATACAAACAAAATTTTTGTTTTGTGCACATTTATAGTACCGCAAATCCTGGCAACTTTGCAATTTTTGGAAGGACTTAAAAGTTTAAAGACTAATTTTCCAACAAAAAAATATACTCTCCGACTGGGTGTCATTGTTAAATGTGACATTATATATTTCATAGATTTGGTATTTATTAACTTCGTATCTCTCCTACTCGGGGTACAAATTGTACACTGCTTTGTGCCTCGGGCTAGAGTTTGCGTATACGTCAGAGAGGACATCTGTTCTCAACGCCTGGGCAAACTTGAAGGTTCGGACTTGTCCATCCTTTGGCTACTTGTAGACAGTGACGACCATCCGCGCGTCTACGGAGGCCTCTATAGGTCCCATAGCGATAATGCCGAACAGACCGACTCATCGATCACGTCCAAATGGCTACAGATTCCTTGCTGCAACAGGTCCCATCGGCAGAAATCGTGACCCGGGGCGATTTTAACGCCCACCACGCCGAATGGCTCGATTAAAGTTTAACCGATTATACAGGGAGATCTGTTCATGATTTTGCCTTAGCATATGGTCAGACACAATTGGTTACTACGCCTACGCGGATTCTAGATGTGGAGGATCATGCATCTACCCTGTTGGACCTTCTGCTGACCTCTTATCCGGACAGATATCAGGTCTCTCGACGCCCCTCTTGGCTCCTCGGACTATTGTCTAGTCCGGAGTGTGGTGCCACTCACGCTAAAATCGCGCTTGCTTTCTGCAGTCTGCCGCAGTGTTTGACACTACAGGCTGATTGGGATGGAGTGCAATCTTTCTTTGCATCCTAGCCTTGGGGGCGGGTTTGCTTCTCGTCGGACGAGCTCAACGGTTGTTGCTTATTCTGTTGCTGATGTGGTACTTCAGCGTATGGAACTTTTTATTCCCTCCTCTGTGGTGCCCATCGGAGACAGACCTCAGCCATGGTTTAGTCGCTCCTGTAAAATAGCAGCACGATACAAGCAGGAGTGCTACCGGGCCTGAGCTGGCGCATCAACGTCCAGAGCCCTTAAAAAGAAGTATAATTCCGCCTCCAGGACCTTCAAAAGAGTCATTGCTAAGGCAAAGTCAGAGCACATAGGCAGTATTATTGGCGAGAAACTAGTTCGTCTTCCTTCGGTAACCCGTGTATTCTGGTCTCTCGCCAAGGCTGTCCAAGGGAACTTCTGTCAGCCATCCCTTCCATCTCTGAACAGGGAGGACGACTCACTGGCCCATGCCGCAAAGGAGAAAGCCGATCTGCTAGGCTCTTTTTTTGCGTCCAACACGACTTTCGATGACGGGGGAACACACCGCCGACCATCCCGCGGTGTGAGTGCTCCATGTCGGATCTGTGGTTCTCACAGCGCCCGTTTCGCAAAACACTCCTCTCTCTCTAGGGAGTAGGAGCCCTAGGCGTAGTCCCGAAGTCATGGAAGATGGCTTTTATTCACCCGATCTCCGTCTAAAAAAGGCGACCGCTCAGACCCGTCTAACTACAGGCCTATCGCCATCACTTCCTTGTACTCCAAAATGATGAAATCCATTATAAACTGCTAGCTCATGCGGTACCTTGAGGACCAGCAGCTGTGTAGTGCCCTGTAGACTCCCCTTTACCTCCGACAATATACATTTATAAAATTAGTATTAAGTATAGAATAGGACTCAGTATAATTAAAGTTCTTGTACAAGCAACACGTCTCCTTCATTCAGCACCTTCCGAGTTCCGACATTACATGGCGACCCTGCCAGGCGGTGCGCTGCGACAATGCACGCGCACCGCCGCGGCCTATTACTTAAAAGAAAAAAAAATATTATAAAAAATCTAAATTAAATTATGAAAAAATATTAACGGCAATACCGGACGTGACGAAAAATAATAAGAATATAAGAAAAGGACTGATATTACTATTTTTAAAGAAAATTACAGAAAGTATTTAATAAACTAATGAAGATCAACTTAAAAAGATAAACTTTATGAAAATTTCAAAGGTAATATGAAGAATAAAATACTTAATATTGATAATTATGAGAAATATAATGAAGAAAGGAACAGCAGTTGTACCCTAGGAAGCTTAGCCCAGAAGAATGTGAAATTTGAGTCAGAAAGTACAAAGAAGATATTAAGAGGTAACTTCCCACCTTTGTGGTTTTATCTCCATCTAAAACTTTATTTATCAATTTGTGATTGTTTTATGTTCTTTTTGCTATTATATTTTATGAATTTAAGTATTAAATATTCTATATTTAATACACCTATGTTTAAATTGAAAGTAATTATCAGATAATTTACGATTCAATTGATTTTTTAATATTTTATTACTGTATCTGAAAAAATAATTAAAAAGCAATAATTATAAATTAAGTTATGTATGCATTTCTGTGGCATGTTTTATTAAGGTACAAGACGATTTTATATTCACTTTTTTCAGTTATTGTCTTATATTATTTTATAACTGTGTCGTGCAAAAATTAATGAAATAATGTGATTTATTACATTTTTATGTCCTTAAATTTACTATAGTTCATCATAAATTAATTTTTTCATATTTTATAGTAAAATAACACTTTTTCTTTTAACGACCACAAACTAATCTAGATAAGTTAAATTCAATTTCAATTCAAAATTCAAATGTAACAATCTTTACACAGTGAATATAATAAGTATGCTAAACTTTTCTTATGAATGATATATAAATATGACATGTTATGCAATGAGCTTATCTTAAAACAATAGAGAGCAACATGCGATATATGAACAGGTGCATAAAAATAAATCATAACAACATTCTAATAAAGACGAAAATAATAATATCAAAAAATAAATAAGAAATGACCTGTAAACACGTGGATAATAATAAATATAAATAATAATAACGTGTAACATAAATATGAAAATAATTAAATACTGTAAAATAAAATAAAAATAATTAAGAGGTTTAATAATAATGTTCCCTAACAGTTAAAAAACCCAAAAAAAAAAAAAATAGACTGACAAAAATGTTATCCAATTTGTACAAAATTAGAATGTATGTAATTAAAAGATATGAGGAATGGAAGAAAAAAATGTTCGAAAGTGTGAATACGAATGATCGAGTTGCTAAGTTTCCTCAATATTGGACTGATCACCCAAATATTGATGAATGCTTAAACTCTTGGTATGGAACTCATTATGAGCGAGAATAATGCAAATTAGTATATGGAAGTGGAGCATGCAAGTGAATAAAAATACCCGATACACCCAAACAGATATTAAGATGTAAAAAAAAAAAAAAACACGGGTCATGTATAAATAAAGAAGCAAAATGGTTTATTAAGAGAATAGAAATAAAACATATTATAATGACCTTGATAAATAAATCATGGAGAGATACGGGAACGTCCATCACTGGTAAAGCATATAGTCCTCGAGCAGGGTATGTTTCCATGATTGGATGATAAAATCGGAAGTAACGGGTACTAGGGAACAATACCTTCAGTACAAATGAGATGTGAACGAGTTTACTCATATTAGTACTGTTGGGGACCAGAGAAGTCTTAAATTTGTTACCCTTAATAATGGTACATAGGGGTCACATCCTTCATTGGATCATAGTGTGAACTTAGTTTTCCTCCGTGACAATTGTTGGAGTCCTTTTAAATAGACTTAAACGTTGACCTCAAGGTTGTGCGCACAACCCAAGGTACAGTTTTACCTTGATTTAGTATGATAAAAAAAATTTATGTACCAATAAAATGAAATGAATGTTATGAAAAATAATAATAATACCCAAGTAAATGGGGGGCCCATATTTGGATGCTGATAAGCAATAATGTGTCAACCCACAAAAAGTCAAATTTAGAGATATTGATGTTTTCTGATAACGCGTTACTTATTAAACATTATGCAAAAGAGTTTTAAGTTACTTAAATCAAATAAGTATGGAAAAAAATAAATTATATCATAAAACAAATGGGAAATCACTTATACAACATTTGCCAAAACACCGTTAAGCTCCTTAACATGGTCGATATTCAAAGTATCTCCATCTGTTGTCACTATAAAGATGTTATGAGACTTGATACTGTGTTGCGAAATGTTATTTCGTTCTTCGGGCAGCGCCAAACAAAGAAGTTTACGTAAAAATTGAAAAAATAACTGATATTCCCATTGTAATTAGTTGATTAGTTGTACAAACTGTTGTTTTAGTAAATAGTATGTA